AATAATGTTTTTTTAATATTACGTTTTTATTTTTGATTTCCATTTTTTTATAACAGTTAACATTTTTAAGTAATTTTTAAAATGTTAGTATTTATTTTGTTATCTAAGTTATATATGGAATATTAATTTCGTTTTTAATATAATTTGGAAACAATGACATTTTATAAAAATAATAAACTAATATAATGATGTGTCATTAAACGATTGGAGGACTTAAATCCTACGTGGACGCTCTCAATGGCTTATAGCCTCAACTTTTATATAGTATAGATTTTCCATTTTTTTAATAAAAGTTAACATTTTTATGTAATTTGTAAAATGTTAATATTTATTTTGTTAGTTAAATTATATATGGAATATTAATTTCGTTTTTAATATAATTTGGAAACAATGACATTTTATAAAAATAATAAACTAAAATAATGATGTGTCATTTTACGATTGGAGGACTTAAATCCTACGTGGACGCTCTCAATGGCTTATAGCCTCAACTTTTATATAGTATAGATTTGTTGTTTTTGTCCAAAAATAATAACATAGTTGTTGTAAAATGAATGGGCTTGGCCGAAATATGAATGAGCTAACTTATGACCTATTCTTCTTTTTATTGTGATGGCCCATGTATGTAAAGATTATTGCCCTGTTATTTTATGGTTAACAACACTATAAGTTGGCAGTAGACTAAATAAAATGAAAGAATAACAACAATCTTGACAATTAAACAAAAGAAATTTGAAAAAACAATTTTCTTACATCGTGTATGATAGTTTTTTTTTGTTTTTGAGAAATTCATGTATGATAGGTTAATAAGACCATGTTTCGGTGTTGTGAATTTGATTTGACCTCCTTTGCCTTAGGGAAAAGTTAGGATTTTGATTCACTCATTATTACAGTGTATATTATTATGATGGAAACAAGGGATTGTTGACGAAAATAGTCAATAAATCCTTTGTTGACAAAAATACAAGTGAATAAGAAACTGTACAATAATAATTTACCTAAAGTAACTTAGCATAAATGTAATAAATAAAAGATTCCCGGGTCTGAAAACCGGAAATTGAAATTCAAAAAAAGATGAAAGAAACACCAACTACACTGTCAAAACGACAAAGGAGTACGCTTTGTCTGGCTGCGTTTTGGAATAACCTTTATGTTACCTTGTCTCCTCTTTCTTTGTTCTCAGATTATACTTCACTGCCCAAAGCCACAACACTTACCACCACTTCTCTCTCTCACATCTCTCACTGTTTACTCTTTTAATTCAGGTTTTGCTTCTCAAACCTCTCTCTACCCTTTTGATTAATTTTCACACATTTTGTTGTTCCTCTGAATTTGCTTCTGATGTTTTATATTTTGTCATGAGAACTTTAATTACTCACTGCTTCCCTGCAAAATGTAATTTCTTTCCAGAGTAAAAAAAGTTCTGATTTTTATTCCCTTTTCATTTGCCCTTTTTGAATATTTTTAGCTTTTTTAGTTTCGTTTATGCGCAGAAAGCTCAAGTCTTTGTAAATGAATGATTCTTGGAACCTGAATTATTTTTTCTCAAGGAATTAAAGATAGTGTTTAACCTTATTAGAGCTTGAAACATTAAAGATGTCTCCTTTATTTGTTCCTATATTTTTTGGTTTTCTTGTTTCAGCTTATAGTTTACTTTTTGAAGCAAGAAGAAACATCAGAATCTTTGTTTTTATGTAACTTTTTAAGGTTTAATGTTGAAGTTACTTCTCTGCTGCACTGTGATTGTTTGTTTATGCTAACTTTTAATTAACATGTGATCACTTGATTCACTCAAGTTCTTTTATAAACTAGATTCTACTTTTTCCATGGAAAGGTTCATCCAGGAAACCAACTACTATATGTTATTTCAACTTGTCTTTGTCTTTGAGTGAGTATTTTAACTTAACTCTGTTTAATTTATATTATTTTTATGTGAAAGATGTTTAAAGTCCTTCATTATGAATCATGGTAATAGTTCTTCAACGTCTAAGTCCCCTCCTTTCACGGCAATAATGGAGGAGAGGTTAGTTTAACCCCTCTTGTGTTCCATTTAGGAGTGTGAATCTGGTAGGGACATTAATGTAAATCTACCACATTATGCTCTGCTTGTGTAGTTGTGTGTAGGGACCCTTGGTACCAGCCTTTTATGATGATAGGTTGTGAACATTACATAGTCAAGAGGGCAACAAAAGGACGCTTCCTTTTTTTTGTGATATTATATAGTCAAACTACTTGTGTAGTTAACATCAATGGTTACAGTGTCATGATATGAGTTGGTCTTCCTTTGTTTTGTCTGGGTTTATTTGTGTAACTCCAGAACAAAAAAACTCTGTTTTACAGTCTTTAAAATCATCATTTTGGCATTATGCTTTTGGTTCACCTGAGATTTTGACTATGATTGTGTTGATTTTATCTGTCTCATTTATAAAATAGTGACTCAACTCTTGTATTCTCCTTTGAGTCAAATATTAATGTTATGTCAACATAAGACATTAGTAAGAAGTGCAAGTAAAAGTTTTATATCTTCTTTAAGATAGTCATTTTCTGGTAGTAGATTTGATTACAGACGTTAGTACTATATTTTTAACTCTTATCCTTTCTTGTAATAACTCCTATCATGTTTTTTCTGCCATTGGATTGTTAACTTATGTCTCCATCTTTCTGCATTAAATATTAATGAGCTCTCTACACTTCTTGGTGGGTCAGGCTTACATTGAAGAAGCAAAACAAGAGGCTGGCTATATTTTTTCGGTAAGATACTCATTCTCTGCATTAGAGGGATAATATCACAGTATGCAGACCCAAAAGGCAAGGTAAAATCTTGGTTTCTATCTTTCTATATAGTTTTTTTTTTTCTTTGCATTTATGGCCTGATTCTTCTCCCCGTGTTTGGTTTTCTTGTGGGAGTTGTTTTCTACACTGAATCTTAAAGGTTGCATTCTTGTGTGGTCCTCAAATACTTAATGCTTCTGTTTAATCAAATCCCAATCTCAACCTCTAATGATCTGTTACTATTAGTAAAAAGTTTTTCCTTTCTCTGGCACATTTGTTTGCAACCGTTGAGTGTGAATATCTTCTTGGTTTTCAATTTTTCATCTTTTTGTTTTTAATTTTGTATGTTTTGGGGTAGAAATGGATCTCCAGATGTTCCCAAGAAGGTGTCTCCTCGAGCTGCTCGGACACTGAAGATACCAGCGTTAGATCCTGACTCCTCTTCACCTCCTATCTTAGCTAATAGCAGAACACCAAAGGACAAAAGTCCAAAATTTCCGGACCGTAGGTCTCCACGCAGCCCTGTCTCGGAGGTATGAGCCTCTTGTACTACGCTTGTTTCAGATCTTGAACTATTTCATAGATTCTCTTTTATTTGCATGATCCATTGTTCCATCATAACATGTTTCTGAATTGACTTTGGGGCCTATGTGATATATAATTAGGTAGAGCATTTAGTTTGGAGTAGTTGAGAGATAAAAATGTAACACTGCCTTGTTTGTTTACCAACAGAAGAAGAGGCCAAGCAGAATAACGGAGCTCGAGTCTCTAGTCTCCCAACTTCAAGAGGAGCTAAAGAAGGCGAAAGATCAAGTAACAGTGTCTGAGACAGCAAAGAAACAAGCAGAGCAGGAAGCGGAAGAGTCCAGGAAAGAGCTACAAGAAGTTTCCTCTAAGCTCCAGGAAACTCAGAATCAGTGTTTGGAAGTCTCAGTCTTGGAGGAAGAAACCGATAAAACCAGTGCTACAGCTGATGAAAGGAGAGGATTAGCTGTTGTTGTTCAGGAGATCAGACAACTTAAGCTTCAGATTGAGATGGTGGCTTCTTCTGAAGCTGGTCATGTGAAACAGGCTGAGCTGCGTAACTCGGAGATTCACCTTTTGAGAGGAAACTTAATGGACACACTTTTTCTCGTTGAGAATTTTAGGGACCAGCTTAAGGACTGTGAGGTATCAGAGGCTGAAACTGAGGCTTTAGCCACTGAAACTCTTAGGCAACTGGAGAATGCTAAAAAGGCAGTAGAGGAACTGAAGTCAGATGGCACTAAAGAAGTTGAAAGTTATAAGAAGATGGCTGTAGAGCTTGAACAGGCAAAATCAAGGATGGTATGGCTTGAAGGTCTTGTGACTAAGCTTATGGACAATCCTGAAGACTATGAGAGTTTAAAACTTGAGGAATCAAATGAGATGAACTTAAGATGTGAGGTAGAGAGACTGAGAGCAGCTCTAGAAGCTTCTGATAAAAGAGACCAAGAGGTGAATGTAGAGGCTTCTTCTCAGTTAAGGATACAAGCTGAACTCCAGTCTGAATTAAAGATAGCTAAATCCGAGATAGAGGAGCTAAAGGCGAGGTTGGTGAACAAGGAAACAGAGTTACAGTTTGTTTCAGAGGAGCTGAAACTGATGAAGAACCAGAAGGAGAGAGATGTTGAAGCTGAGCTGAAGCAACTAAGGGAAGCTATCGAGAATTTGAAGGCGGATATGATGGATAAAGAGACAGAACTCCAGATAGTTTCAGACGAGAACGAGACACTGAAGTCAGATATCCACAAGAAGGAGACAGATGTACAAGACGTGCTCATGAAGTTAGGGATTGCAATGGAAGAAGCTGACAAGAGTAGTAAGAGAGCGGTTAGAGTCACTGAGCAGCTAGAAGCAACTCAAGCGTCAAACTCAGAAATGGAAACAGAACTCAGGAAGCTCAAAGTTCAGTCAAACCAATGGAGAAAAGCTGCTGAAGCAGCTACTTCCATGCTCTCTGCTGGAAACAATGGGAAGTTCGCTGAGAACTATGATCAAGCAAACTCTCCTTACTCTGAGGATGTAGATGATGAACTGACAAAGAAGAAAAATGGGAATGTGCTCAAGAAGATTGGTGTTTTGTGGAAGAAGCCTCAGAAATAGCTGGATAATTACTAATATAATAAGTAGGTAATAATCTGTTCTGAAGTTCATCTATCTTTCAATCAATGGTATCTCTGATGAATTCTCTCAAGGAACTGACTTGCGCTTTGCTTCTACTTCTCATGTACCATTGATTTGGAGTTGGATTATAAGAACTATGTTCTGAAAAACAGACACATGTTCGAAATATTTGAGTTATTGTAATTTTAAGTTTAAGTATTCAGGAGGGAAACTGTTAATTCGGTAATGCTGCCGGTTAATATCGAAGGCAGTGAAGCCTCTGGCTCAGTTAGGAGGAATGGAATTATCAGTGGGCCTAAAATAAGGCCCAATATGTCCTATAACTGAGATTGGAGATAAGAATGATTATTAACCAAAGGCCGTGTAGTTTAAACAAGTGTGAACCACAACAGTGATATTGTTTGAGCTTCCATAGAGAGGTCTCGGGCCTTGAGAGAATGGTGACTAATAGTAGAAATGAGAATGAGGAAGTATGAGTTCAGATTCAGATGCTAGGTTGTGACTTAGACTTATGCCACAGTTCCACTCAGGCCCGGCCCGTTATGCTATAGCGCGTAAAGCAAAAAAAAATTTTTTTGTCCTTCTACAATAGGATGACACATAACACAGAAGCAGCATCAGCATCATTTTGTTTGAAGTTATGCCCATTCAAAAACCCAGTTAAGAAAGGAAAGATATAGCTATCAAGCTGAAACTTGAACTGGATGCTTTAATACATCATTGTAAAACTTCTTTTTTTTCCTCTAAAATTGAGTAACTTCATAATGATATTGGATTTTACTCTAATCTACTATATTTCTGAATGAAAGATAAAATAATGAATAAACAATAAAAATATTACTCTATTTTAAAAATAAATCAATTTTTACTCTATTTTATAATGGAAAATAGAGTAGAGTTGATGTAATTATACTTTAAATTTTATTTTGGAGTAAAATATGAAGGGAGTAGAGATGCTCTATGCTCTTAAGCATTAGTGCTGGCTACCTGCATCTACATGTCAATTGATTCTTGGATCTTCGACTAAAATTCATCTTCAACACCTATATTAAGTTATTAACTAACAAAACTCAGTATGAAAACACATTGTAATTGGCATATTTGATCAATTAATTTAATATTTAAAATGCATATATAATATATGTAATGCGTGTTATACACAAACACGTGTTTCTGTGTGTAAAGCAAACTACCAACCAACAAAGATATGTTTCTATTCATTTAAAACATTCTCTTAACTCCTAAGTATATATTAGCCCATCTAAGCAAAAAATAGGTTAGGTGAGATATTTCTTATATAATCATCATTACTGGCCTCACATTTCCACACCCTAAAAATCGATATAAAAATCAACATTTCTCAGCTAAAATAATTACATAGAGTACTCATATATATATTCCATCGTATATATTAAATTGTCAACCAGTCCACATTATACCAATATTTAATCAAAACCATACAACAACAATTACCAAAATTGATCCTTTGCGTCACTAAATCAATTAAGTGTGTGTTGACAAAAAGACAAAACAAAATCAATTAAGTATAAACACCAACGTCATTGAACGCGCCATTAAGAAGCCTCTAGAGAGAAAGAAGTAGTTAATGGGATAGTATGAGAAATTAGGGCTTAAAATTAACATACACAATTCCATTCCTTAGTAAACTGTTATTTTCATTGATATCTTCCATTTGTAACTTATTTATTCTTCAGAAACTCTATAGACTTCATAGACAAACTCTTTTCGAAATTTGAGAAAACGTCTCTTTTAAAATAAAGTGAAACAATGAACTTACAAAAGAAAAAACTCAACATTAATTTAGATCAGAAAAAAAGAACAACCCCAACCCAATATTGCAAGTTTGAAACTCTTTGAAAAGCCCTAATATATCTTCAGTTCCTTAACCATTTCATAAAGAGCTAGCTAACCCCCATCTTTCCTCCCAATACAAATATGAAACTCAGACCCTAAAATAAATTAAAACCCAAATAAAATTTGAGGTTTTAATTTGAACTACATTAAAGCACCAGAATTAATATAGTTCATATTGGTCCAAATCTCTCTCCCAGAATCAATGTGATCTACATGACCACCTCCTCCTCCTCCCATGTTCATCTCTCCATTCATTTGCCATGGAAAGCCCCATAAGACCTTGTTTGGATCACTCATGGCCATATCCAAACCGCTGCTCCCGTTTCCAAACACATAACCAATGTTATCCTTTTGCTGGCTTGCTCCAAACACACTCTCCATGTCAGACTGATGAGAGCTACCGAACTCTGAAGGAAACCCTAACTGTGAAGAACTCCCCGGAGGTTGCTTGTTCAGCAGGGCAAAGGCTAAGCTAAGATCAATGTGTTCATTGTTACCAAACACACCGAAACTCGCAGCTGAGAACGCTTTCCCGTCGTGGGACGCTGGTTCCGGGGTGGTTCTGAGGCTTCTTGTCGCCGAAGACGTGGACCGTTTGTTTTTCCGGCAGCCACCTCCGACGGGAATGTTCCTTAGGGTTCCACCTTTTGTCCAATATCTCTTGCATGATTTGCAGAAGTAGCGGGGCTGAGAGAGGCTGTAGTTGTTGTAGTAACAAAACTTTGTGTTCGTTGAGTCGCATCGTGGACATCTGAGGGCTAGCTCCGGTGGTTGTGGCCTCGCCGCCCCAGTCGCCGGAGACGGTTTTTTCTGATCTTGGTCTAGTTGTGTTGGGTTTGATGAACATTGTACTCCCATGACTTCTCTTGTTTTGTTATAATTCCCAAAAACATCCTTTAAGACAAAGAACACACATCAAGATTTGAAAAAAGAATACCAAAAAACCAACAATATTCTAATTTAAATAAACAAAAAAAAGTTATTAGAAATGGTGGATGTTAATCGTTTACCTGCTGATGTAACAAATGATCCATAAGAGCTGAAACTAAAGATTATGAGTGTTTGTGTGTAGAGATTGTTTATTGAGATCAGAGAGAATGATGGATATGAGTAGAAACTAAAGTGAAACAAAAGGATAAGCCAAGCATATGTATTTATACATGGGAATGTGGGAGGAGGGAGACACGCTAATGTCCAAATTATGTCTGTAATATTCTGAGGTTTAATATTGATATTCATAAACAATGGTATGAAGAATAATGTGAACCAATTCGGAACGTGATTTGAACAGACGATAAAGCCGCCGTTTATATGATTTTTTTTTATAATATTTATACGTAATCGTATCTTACTCTCCATTAATGAAGTGTTTTGGACCTCACTGAAATGTATTTGTGTACAGCTAATTAGACACAAAATTACTTAAAATTTTTCCACTGGTGTATTTTTAAATTTCGGGTACATGCAATATAACAGGAGATGACATTTTTTATAGAACTAACAGGAGGTGACTATTAGTCCATGATTTTGTTGATTTTTAACAAATACCTCCTTATTGTATTAATTATTCAGACCAAGGTTTATTGGATTAGTTATCATAGAGATATTTTAAAATCTATTCTTACTGAAAGGTAGAGAATTCCTTTGGAATATGTATATTTAAAAATTGGAATGATTTAAGTGGAATTTTTTTTTGCTTATAAATTAGAGTGAGC